CTGCTCCTCTCCTCCTCCTCCTCTCCTCTCCTTTCTCTCTGCTCGGTGAGTCGCAGTAAATCCTTTTGTGATGCTAAACTGGTTTTGGGGCAGAGAGACTCGGGACTGTTGGAGGGAAGCTTTGGGATTCCAGTTCGCTTCGTCTCCTCACTTTGGGTCCAGCAAACTTTCCAGCTCCTGGTCCGGGACCACACCGGTTTCAGGTCCTGGTCCGGGACTCTGGCGGCTGTTTTTTTTTTTTTTTTTAAGGCTCAAACTCCGGAGGATCCAGGAATGCACTTTGCAGGAGCCTCTGGTCCGACTCGTTTCCTGAACTCCTCCTGCTTTTTTAAAAAATTATAAATTAATAATTTAATGGTTTCTTCTCGTGAGGAGCTGTAAATGAGAGGAGGAAATGAGCTCGTGGAGGGTTTAGTGTCRGACTTGGTTCGGGGCTGAGGAGCCCGGTGTGGCCGGGCATGGAGAGCCGAGGCCGGGCAGGGCTCCAGCCGGCGGCCGGAGGAGGAGAGGGAGGAGGCGGCTGGGTGCTGGTGGAGGCCCGGCTGCAGGGAGGAGCGCCCTGGGGGTTCACCCTGCAGGGGGGCCTGGAGCACGGAGAGCCCCTCATCATCTCCAAGGTGAGTGACTGAAACCAGACAGACCGTTCTCAAGAGTTTTATCATTATTTACAAAAAAAAAAGTTTTATCTGGATCCTGAACTGGATTAAATGTTTCAGTCTGAACTTTAGACTCTGAATTTGACTGTAGAAGGTTTTTCTGATGTATTGTGAAATGCAGGTACTTGTTAATGTAACAAAGCACTTTTCTCTGCAAACTTTAGTTCAAATGTGAGAGTAAAGTTTATCAGTTCATCACAATTGTTGAAATACTTCCTCCTGATGAGCTCTAATTATAGCTGCTGTTCATCTGTTTTCTGTCACTTCGGCTGTTTCCAAAGGGAAACAAACACAGRTGGTAATTTGGTAACAAACTGTTTTATTTACCAACACATCAGCCATCAGTAGGAGGTGCTTCCCATTATGGGCTCCCACCCAGGACTGGCTCCAGGGTGGTGCCCCAGTTTCACAGACCTTCAGGATCATTAGGGGGGTACTCACACCCCTTCCTGTTAGCTGGTGATTCTTTAGATCCTCCTCTGCATCAAAGAGTCCGTTAAGGTGGTTAATCTGATTAAGACCATCCATCCAACCAACCAACCAACCATTCATCTAACCAACCTACCAACCAACCAAACAGCAAATTAACTATCCAACCAACTAATCAACCAATCATCCATCTAACCAACCAACCAACTAATCAACCAAACATCCAGCCAGCCAACCAACCAGCAAATTAACCAACCANCAACCAACTAATCAACCAAACATCCAGCCAGCCAACCAACCAGCAAATTAACCAACCAACTAATCAACCAATCATCCATCTAACCAACCAACCAAATATCCATCCATCCATCCAACCAACCAATCATCCATCCAACCAACCAACCATCTAACCAACCAACCAACCAACCAACCAACCAACCAACCAACCAACCAACCAACCAACAAAACATCCAAATATCCATCCAACCAGCCAACCAACCAACCAACTAATCAACCAATCATCCAACCAACCAACCAGCAAATTAACCAACCAACTAATCAACCAATCATCCATCTAACCAACCAACCAATCATCCATCCATCCAACCAACCAACCATCTAACCAACCAACCAACCAATCAACCAACCAACCAAATATCCATCCATCCAACCAACCATCTAACCAACCAACCAACAAAACATCCAAATATCCATCCAACCAGCCAACCAACCAACCAACTAACTAATCAACCAATCATCCAACCAACCAAACAACCAACCAGCAAATTAACCAACCAACTAATCAACCAATCATCCATCTAACCAACCAACCAACCAATCATCCATCCAACCAACCAACCATCTAACCAACCAACCAAATATCCATCTAACCAACCAACCAAATATCCATCCATCCATCCAACCAACCAACCTTCCAACCAACCATCAAACCAACTAATCAACCAACCAAACAACCAACCAACCAACACTTTGGAGGTTTTTTTTTGGCATGTACCACTGGGAAGAGACCCAGAACCTACCAGAAGGACCCTACATACTCTCTGGCCTGGGAACACCTCAGTATTTCCCAGGAGGAACTAGAGTGAGGTCACCGTGGAGCCAAAGATTTCTTAGTTTCCTACATGCACCTGTTTTATTTTACGACCAGACTACGGGGAACCGTGTAAGTGTTAAGCCAGACACCCTTCCTGATGCAAACTGGGCTCAAACCTGCAGGCCTCAAGATTACCAGACCTCAGCCACATCTTACAAGAAAACAAATATATCCAGGAAAACTGTTAAATTTGAAGTTGTGGGTATAAGAGTAAGGTCATTTAAGATAGTCTATCCCCTCTGACTGTAAAAACAAACTGGCCTCATTTTTATTTAAATGCAAATCACCATCTGGTGTGAATTTGTGGAGGTTATTCTGGGACGGAAGCCAAACTGTTGTAAAATAAGACAAGAATGTGAATAATGTGCTTTTCAACACAATCCTGCTTTTATTTTCTGCTGCACTTTGATCGGCACAGTTTGCCGTGTTTTGACCAAACACTGGTCTAACCCTTTGCTTCCTTTACTTCTTTTTCACCGCTGGAGTGTATTTTTCTTCCCGTGTTCCCCCGCAGCCGGCTGGAGGAGCAAAGAAAGAGGTTTTAGTTTGGCCTGGATGTAAATCTTGCTGTAGTAAAAAGTAACAAAGAGCTATGAAAACACTGTTTGTTGCCAACTCTTCCTCAGTGGATTAGTGCCACCTTTGTTGCAGCAACAGTTGGGAGTTTTGAGTGAAAATTAACTTGTTCACAACAAGTCTTTCAGGTCATTGTTGTTGAGACCCAGCGTGACCTCTGCTGCTTGTTAGTGTTCGCTGTAGAACTTTATTAATCATTCTTTGACCGTGTTGGAGGTCACAGAGGAGGTCTGAGTTAATCCCAGGGTTTGAGTTCAGGGCACGAGATTTTAATAAGGATAAAATATCCATCTGTTCACCATCCATCCATCCATCCATCCATCCACCATCCAACCATTCATCTGTTCATCCATCCATCTAACCCAACTTAGCAAACAACCATACATCCAACCATCAAACAAACCAACCATCCAACCATCAAACAAACCAACCATCCAACCATCAAACAAACCAACCATCAAACCAACCAACCATCAAACAAGCCAACCATCCAAC